TTTTGAGCCAATCTTGGGTTGAATGAGTTTCAGAGTCTCTAGTATAATTTTGTATTTTATTTCCTTGCATTTCAAGAAACATAGCCTCTATGGCTATAATGGAACATAGGGGTAAAATGCATTTGTTTGCTTTGAAAAAAATATGACAGATACAAAGAACATTTAAATAGCATTTTTAAGCCACTCATTAATAAATATTGAAAAGCAAAAATAATCATTGATGAAAGATTTTCAGCAAAAAGTTACAGGTGAGCGATTCAGGCTCTTGAGAGCCTATTGTATCATAATGCTGTGTAAATGTGTTCATTATTCCTTGGATACCAATTTTCGTGGATATTGTGGGTATGTGTAAATGGCAATTTAAATGTCCAACGAAGTGCTCAATTTCTATAGGTTTGTATGTATACTTTGGCAAAACAATGAAATTAGATAGAAACGAAAAAAACCAGTATTCCATGAATCCACATAAATTGGTATCTAGGAAAATGAATGAATCCACAGTAAATGAAACAGGCCATTGTCTTGTTATGGAGGTACATTTTGAATTTCTTTTTACTGTGCAATAAATATATTTATATGGTTGAGTATTGACCTTTGCTAAGTTTTTTGGCAAAATGAAATCAGTCAAAATTTTTCACTTTTATGACTTAGATTATTTTAAAATATGTTCATTATGTTTTTAAATAACATGTAAAAAATTAAGGTTAACAACACTAAGGTAGCAAAGTAATTTTACCATAGTTTATCAATAAAATTTATTGAATCTGTATCTTAACCTATTAATGATTGCCCTTCAGCTAACCATGTCTCCAGATATTCTTAAATATCTTTCATACTTTTCTTCTTTAATAGAGATGAGGGTCAGCCTTCACATATGACCCATTATAGTCACATAAATCTGATCACTTTCTGCAGACATGATGAAACAGGCTGGACAACTGCTTGTTTTCTGAATGACAGAATGACAGTATCACTATATGCCCAAGATACGTACAGGCTTTGGCATGATAAAAAAAGACATAGCAGCATATCTACAAATTATTCAGAAGTATGACATGTTTCCCCCTATTATCTGGATTTACACAATAAATCTTGCAATTCAGAAAGGCATGATTGAACTTTAATAGTAACTTCCCATGTTCTGATCTTTTTTTAACTCAATCTTTTGTCAATCTTATTACACAGTTGACAGAATAAGCCAGCAGAAATAGGATTTGACACAACAGTCTATTTCCTGAATGTTTTTGTTGCAAGGCAAAAATTTGTTTTAAGATGAGAAATCAAGCACAGGGTTAGTCAGAAGGCAACAAGTAGATATGCTATTTCATTGTATCACTCCCATGTTTATTAGTATCTTTACAGTACACTAGCTCAAAAATTAATAGTCTTACTTTTAATGTTAGCTTTTGTGTAATGTAATTTTTGTTCTGATTTTGTTACCAGTCTTTGTCTCGCCTTGACGGAGTCAAAAAGCGAGACATAGGTATGCTGTTTCCGGCGTTGGTGTCAACAATGTATTAGTTTGTGATTAGGTCTAGTTTATGGTGAATCACTAGTGGTTGGTCAATGATATTTGGTATGCAGTTGAATTAGCATTGGCACATCTCATTACCATGGAGATTATTTGGCCCCGCCCCCTCAGTCATGGTTTATTGACTTTGAAACTTAGCTTAGTTTTCATGTATTAGTTTGTGATTAGATCAGTTTATGGGGAACCACTAGTGGTAGGTAAATGATATTTGGTATGCAGTTGTTTAAGCATTGGCATATCTCATTTCCATGGAGATTATTTGGCCCCGCCCCTTCAGTCATGGTCTATTTACTTTGAAAATTTTGCTTAGTTTACAAGTTAATGTTTGTGTTTTGGTTTCTTTAAAGGGAATGACCTATGAAAAGTCAATGGTATTTGGTATGCAGTTGTATTAACATTGCACATCTCATTTCCATGGAGATTGTGTAGCCCTGTACCTTTAGTCATAGTTCATTGACTTTTAATATTTGCATAACTTACATGTTAAAGTATTGTTATTTTAATTTCAACATTTGCATTATCAAAATAACAAATAGGCGAGACATATCTCTGTGTTAACAGTTTATCTTATCTATGACTTTGAAGCAAGACATTTGCTAGATTGATAGTAGTGGGAACTACACGACACATATAATTTTTATTCCTTTTAAATATTCTAAAATTTGGATCAGATAGACTAATAAAGCAGTATCTTCGACAATGTGTCACTTATTTGTATATTGATACACCCTGCAGATTAATGTAAAAACAATAAGAGCTATTGTTTGGATAAGTTTAGTTTATTTGTGAATATGTAGTCTAGTATTTAAAAAATCAGGTTGGTTTTAATTCTTACTCGAAGTAGGTAATTTCACCTGTTGTCCTAATTATTAAACTATCCCTACACCTCGGATATTTCTATTTATATACGAATTTTAATTGCGTGGTGTTTTGTAAAACTTAATTGTTAAAAGTTGCACAATTTATAAAACAAAGGGTTGTGTTAAGTTAGTTAACTTCGCCTGATCAGAGATGAGATAAAAAAAAGCCATCTTCAATAAGGAACAGTGGCATAGGAGTAGTCTGAAAAGGGGGAGGCAAACTTCTGAAAGTGACGAACAAAAATAAAAAAAACCTTCTCCAGTCTTAATAGTCTAGTAGTTAAACAGTGCCCTATCATTTTCTTTTTTTTAATTGTATAAATTATTTTTTGGGGTCAATAAATGAATTGCCCCCTTAGCCCTGGGCTCCTACGCCAGTGTGGAAGTAAGACATGCAAAATAAAGGCAACAGTAGTATACCGCTAGTCGAAGTTCATAAATCGATTGAGAAAAAAAACAAAACAAATTTAACATATTTGAAGAATTTGTTGTTTATGTTACCATCTAGAGTTACGTTGAGAAAAACGAAAATTATAAATATTGATGCCAAAGCGGAACGCCCAAAACCAAAAAAATGCATGAAAGCTGAAGATAAATATTCGATGAGCTAGATGACCATATAAGGACAAAAATAGAATATATTGCTAAAACTTTCTATGGTCAACTTTGTTTGGCGGTATGAAACCTTAACTTGTTTATCGGCAAATTTAAGAAATATTTGTTTTTTGGATGAAACGAGTAGCATGTTGAATGTTAAAAAAAATTAAAACAAAATAACCGAACTCCAAGTGTCTTCCTGTTTCACATTTCTGATATTTATAAGGGTATACAATTTTTCAAACATCTACTATGATCAAATAAACGTCAATTGAGGGGGTGGACAGGGTTAAGGGAACATGTGAACGGTAAACTGGGGGAAGAGCGGGAGTACATGGGGGTATTCTAGAAAAAGAAATTTGACCGATTTTCGTCTGTAAGTTAAGTGAGGGATGTGGAAGAAGGGGGAAGGTAAGTGAGAATCAGGGACCCTCCTGTCCACCCCTAACAATTTGATATAGCTTAATAAATCCTCACCAAACTGCATTTCAAGTAGCCTCTTATCCTTCACAAAACTACAAGGAAATGTTATACTGTCGATGACCAGTTAGATCTTTTTTACTTTAACTTTATATTAATTGGTCATGTTCCAGCATCTATATTAGTCATTTTTCCATTTTTACTCTAAAAGTTTATATTTTTGGGCGTTCAAAACTCTCAATCATACCCGATGAAGGTCTTTTCAGAAACCTGTGTTGTGTAAACTAAGTCATCAAAGAAACATCGACGATTTGTTTGTACTGAAAAATCCATTTAAAAACTTTGCATTATATATTCCTTGTTTAGTAAATATAGTTTTTATGTTGACAAATATAACCTATTATGTGCCACTCAGTTCTTTTTAAGAGGAAGAATGTAACCTTCACCAACAAAATAAGTAGGTGACTTAACATATTACATCAACGTCATTTGGTCTCTGATAGATAGATTGACAACCATACTACATCTCTTATTCTTTATTTCATATAATAGAGAGGGGATTTGGGTTTTATTCTAATTAAACAGTTTTTGATGCTCAAACATGTATACACAACACAGAAAGGACTTAAGCACTCACTGGCAAAATTGGGACGAAAAAAAAACTTACTGACTGTTCTTTATTTATTTAGTTTTTGATGATATACCCTTTTCATTCAAGTAATATTCTTACATCACAAATTGTATGGAAAAGGTTGAAGTTGAGTTAAGTAAAAAAAACCTATGGTCGCAAAAAAACAAACGACAGGTTATAAAGCTGAAGATATAAATGGAGTCAAGGGAAGATGTTCTTTGGTTGATCTATTGTGATCGGTCGGTTACAAAGCTAAATTGCCCGCTTTTACACTTCGGTGTTCCTGTTGTTCATTTGTTTTCCTCTTATTGTTGATGTGTTTCCCTCGGTTTTGGTTTGTAACCCGGATTTGTTTTCTCTCAATCGATTTATGACTTTTAAACACCGGTATACTACTGTTGCCTTTATTTACCATAATTGTTGCATTTTCACATTAAGCCTACATATCTCAAATAAACCAAAGAAGCATGATCTAAAGAGTTTATTTCTCATTCAGAATATTTTTTAATGCATCAATTTTTGTTTTATTATTCAGAATAGACTAGCAAAAATAAAATATATTTATATTTTATGGTTCTAAATTCGTGTTGCTAAGCCGTTTGTCTTTTCGCGATTTTTTAACATGTTTTAATTTGACTTGCAATTTTTCATTTTCCGCTTGGCATGTTTTTTTTTAATTCTAAATGTTGAAAACAAATATCTTATTAAAAAGGAATTATATGCCATTCAAATAAAAAAATATTAATGAAAACAATAAATGAATATTCAGATAACACTATGAAATATATAAATTAAAGACTAGCATCATGTAGCATATGTTATTAATAATATAAATAATTATAATCGTTAATATTAATTCTAATACTAATGCAAATAATATAAATTATAAGAAACATAAAAATAACGTAAGTATTGGTTATATGCTTTTAATTTGATTCGTAATTTTGATGTCATTTCGGTATTGTTCATCTATTTATAATTTACTGTTACACATCTACCTGGAATACACTTAACAACCAACATTATAAACAACCAGAATGGCACAGGCTGCTTCTAAAACGTGCGAAATATGTGTATCAAGTCCTGGGCATAACTACTGTGAACAATGTGACCAGCTGTTTTGTGATGGATGTAAAATATCGCATTTACGGACAAAGATGAGCAAGAATCACACATTTTTAAGTGGCCCAAATATCATCCCGGAAGTCAAACTATACTGTAAAGAACATGATGAAAACTTTATATATTATTGCATAGAATGTGATACACCAGTCTGTAAGATATGTGCTATTAAAAATCACAGAAAACATGATCTATCGGAGATCAAGGAATCATTGGAAGGTATCAACGCTGAGGGAAAAACTGACATCGAAACGAAGATTAGAAAGCTTCAGTCAAAAATAGCAGAGATTGATCAAGGTACCCATGCATATCAAGCTGATGTTAAAGAAGTTATCCAGGCTATAAGAGAAGAAGGCAAAGGATTAAAAGAAATGATTGATAAGAAAGTTGAAGGTCTTATTAATACGGTGAAAGAGAAAGACACAAAGAATGTTCAAACCTTACAGTCGTTTGGCGAAGAGATCAAAATAGCTTTGGATAACGCAAAAGAGCAGCAAAAGTTCTATCAAGATACACAGGGGATAAAAGATACCACGAAAATATTACAAAAACTAAAACAAATAAAGTCACAAATCGATCAAATCGAAGAAACGAAGGTTCCAATTATGCCATCCATCAAATATGATAAAAAGAAGGCAGAAGAAAGTGAAATAGAGAAACTGTTTGGGGAATTAACATTTAGGTAAGTTAGTTCTTAGTTATTGATTTCTATGAAGTGTTTTGAAAACTGTTATTGGTTTTATGTGTTATTTCGGGTTTTTTTTGCCCTGGGGTTTGTCAATTTCTCTTCGACTATAAAGGGTTGAATAAGAATGGCATCTTCCGGATCTTTTTTTTCAAATTATATTCTATATTTATATATCAGATTATCAAGTTTCCAGATTAAATAAAACTTGTAGTAATGCAATGCCTAGTTATATTCTCAATATTGAAGTGTTGATAAACACTATCAGCATTATCAATAGTTGTACAGTTAGTTCATTTATACGTTTACTGTATAGAACCAACGGTATATAAAATTGAGAATGGAAATTGGGAAATGTGTCAAGGACACAACAATCCGTCCAGAAGAGCAGAAAACAGTGTATGTTTACAGTACAAATTAGAACTATGTTATACTTAGATATATGAAGATGTGGTATCTAATTAAAATCCAGTACAAATCAGAATTCCAATATCTACTGACAGAAATTGGATATTCAGATTTGTACTAGAATGATTATGGATTGTTCTAAATTTCTGGTAGGATCCAGGACGTTACTACAAAAAAAAAGGAACAAAAATAGACAACATTATCACAAATGAATTAATTTTTATCTGACAGATAAAATTTCAAATACTTCCAATAAAAGATTTGCTTTAGTTAATATTGTCCTTATTAATATTAAACATTTACAAAATTGAAGTGTTTAATCATGCATACATAGGTCTCTATAATTTGATCAAATCTTCTGAAATACATGTACACTAAAATATTGTTAAAACATAAAAAAAACTCATCTGAGCTAATGATTATATAAATTATAAGTGTTAGTACAGTCCTTGGATGGTGTAAACTTCCCACTAACACCATACACCATTACACCATACACCCTGTGCCATTACAACATACACGTTACACCTTTGCACCATACACCTTACACATTACACCATAATGCAATTTTATTTAAAAAGAAAGCGTGCGACTACAAAATTATTTATTTATTTTGAAAAACGAATTTTGATCACAATATTGTAAATTAATGTATACAATTAAAAATCAGTTCTTATCAATATTTTGCATAGTTTTAAATGTCGTACACCATTCATTCATATCATTCCCGATCTCACGTAACACCATTACACCATTCCCCTTACATCATACACCATAGCACCATACACCATAGCACCATACACCTTCTACCATTGCACTATATGCCATACACCATTACACCATACGCCTTTTTTTAGGAAGTTTACACCATCCAAGGGCTGTTCAAGCTTAATATTACAATTACTACCAAAATACTATCATATCCGTTATAAGACAACAAAACTCAGCAGGACATACCTAAAAACAACCACTGAGAAGGTTCCCGCTATTTCAAATAGTACTTTTAATACAAATTTGGAAACTTTTTTGACAAGATAATTTATTTATTTGAGAGAAAATGTCAAAATAGAAGCAAACCTAAAACCTAGGAAGAACGTCCGGTTTGTATTTATAATAGACATAAAACACATTTGTTTATATTGTTCTCATTGCTATGTTCAAATCTTATGTGAACTGACTTTTCCTACAATGACAAAATCAATCGAAACACTTAGTTTGTCTTCCTTAGTCAAATTTAACGCAACTTATGATAAATTGTACTATTCTTCATCTCCGTAATTTGTGTTGGTCCAATTGGTCTATATTCCATTGGACCTGATGAGTATAATATAATCAAAACGCGCATAAAGTATACAAAGTTACGCAAATGGTGAAGACTTTTTCTCTCTAGTAGACATGACATTATTATATGACATACCCTTGAAACTAGTCAGTGGTTTGGCATAACCGTGAAATATATTGAATTATGAATAAGTTTTCTTTTTGATCGTTATCAACTGTTCCAACTAATTTAGGCGAAGTTGGTTTGAAATATATAGATGGTTTACTTTTGATTGACTGGACTGATGCGTTGCACGACATACATAAACAATGTAAATATATGTTGTTAATTTCTGTGTCATTTGGTCTCTTGTGGAGAGTTGTCTCATTGGCAATCATACCACATCTTCTTTTATGTATATATAAATACCGTTCAGTGTGGCTGTCCTACATATTATGCTATTGAGTATTCATGATAAAACTTTGTCCAGGAAAGAGCTTGAAGACATCAAATGGCTTTCTTGAAAGATTAGTCAATTGTGGTGAAAAAAATTGACATGAGGGTAAAATGTCCGAGTAAAGTTAAAGATGAATAATCAATCAAAAAGTTACGTTAAAATGTTATTTGAACTGATGCTATAAAAGTTAGACATCTCCCTTGAAATATTTAAATCTTGTAATATGATATTTTATAGAGTTACAACAACAGCTAAACAATACAGATACAGATGCGCCCAATGCAGGTAAGTGTTATGTTATGTAGTTTTCTGTGGGACGAGTATATAAAACCAAGTTGTGTTAATCATTAAATAAGAAATTCAAATTTGAAAAACAGATAAAGGTTAACCACATAGCAAGTATTTGCTTCAAACAAAATTTGTTTTTATGTTAAAGAAGTGATGAGTATCAATGCATGACCTTCATTGTCAATTACAGACACATTGATTCAACTTTCGTAAAACAACGTCTCATTCTTAGGCAGTAGATTTATCGTCTGACTCTAATATTTACACATTTTAGTTGATGTAATATACAAGGAAATACGTATTATGTACTTATGTATTCGGACTGTTCTTGGGTCAAAAACTTTTCCACCATGATTAGGTGGACGAAATAAGTGAATTTATAAATCAAGAGTGTATGAAACTTCTTTTTTTTAACTTTTGACAGTATTGTTGTGATAATATCAGACTTATCTAATATTTCGAACACTGTTTAAGTGAATATGTAACCTCTAATATTAGGGATATAAAACATACTATAAGTCAGGAACAAAGTCAGTGGTTGTATTATTTCAGATTGTTATTCCATTGTTTTTTTAACAATTTTGGGTTCCTATTGATACTAGTAGTTTCTTCAACTTATTCAAACCTCGGGACTACTAAGAGCTTGTCATTTTATAATTCGATACTTGTCTGCCGCATCGTATGGCGTTGACATATATCAATTGATACGCTCGTGTATTTACTCTTTTTGAGGCCTTCATTAGCTGGGGCGTCTTCTTTACACAATAAACTGTACAAACTGTGTTATAAAATCTACACTGCAGAAGTTTACAATCACCACCACGAATGGGTTGACTGATTCGATATGTCTGTGTCTCAATTCAATAGCGCCATGTTATCGCAGTCTTAGATCCTTGGATACCAGAATAGTCGTCTAAACTGTAATTTTACCGATTGTGACATATTTACTGAGTGTGGACTCGCATGGCGGGTGATGCAGGATAGCAGGAGACAGGTACTAAGTGTACGCTTCATTATGGAGGTAATGTGATTACCTTTTTGTTACTTTGGTTTGTCGTCCTAATCGATTAAAGGGATTTTGGCATCGGTAAACTACTGCTTCTTAATTTGAAGGACGAACACATATTAGGATCTAGATACCTGTTGGTTATTGGTGTTGTTTGGTTGCCGTTTAAGTTTTCTTAACCCATTATATTCCCTTTGACCTTTTTTATTGTCCAATGTGTTTGCTTCTATTTTGTTTTATGACAATAAGTACACAAATATTAATATAAACGTTTAAAGGCTTAAATCAGAATAATTGAACGACAAGGGGGTTTTATCTTCCTAATTTAAACTATGAGGGATAGTTGTTTCATTAGCAATCAAAAGTAATAAAACAAAAATACCGAACTCAAAGGAAAATTCAGAATGGAAAGTCCCTTACCAAATGACAAAATCAAGAGCTCAAACGCATAAAATAAAAGGAAAACAACTGTCATATTCCTGACATGGTACATGTATTTCCTTCTGTAGAAAATGATGGATTAAACCCGGTTTTAAAGCTAGTTAAACCTTTCACTTGTATGACAGTCGAATGCAATTCCTTATATTGACAACAATGTGTAAGCAAAACAAACATACATAATAAGTGAAAAAAATCAACAATGTGGGTATAGCAGTCAACATTGTGATTCAATCTCAAACACTATAAAAGCACAAAACTATGTGAACAGAGAAAAACAAAATGGCATATAGACAAAGCACATAAGCAAAAATGAAAGACAAGAATTAAACCACATTTCCTTATTTTAAATGATGGTTGACGCTTGCTTTTCTAACTTTGGCGATACATCTCGTCTCACTACAATGTTTTAGAACCTGATTTTTCTACACATGAATTAAACTTTGAAATGTGTGCATTAAAACGTGTTTTTGTGTAGACTCAAAGGATATCATAGTTTGTTTCATGTTCCATTATTTGTTATTGATTACAAAGTTGTTTTTGATGTTTCCACATGGGCTAAAAGTATATTTTTTTATTCTAAATTTGATGTGAGATTTAAAACTTGTATAATAACATAAACGGTACTAATTTTACTGCCATACTAGCGGATTTTGACAATAAATGTCTCTTCATTGATGTTCGCGGCCAAAATATTCTAAAAACAAAAATTTATTAAAAAATTAAAGAACTGATAAAACCAAAACAGACAAAACGTATAGCCAAAACCGCACAAGGACCAGAGCTTTACACGAGGAGAAAACTTAGAGATATTTATTCATTTTCCGAGGAGAAGAATGTAATATCCTAATGTTTTGTAGTTTAACACTTTTACACGGAACTTGTTATGGACACAGCAAATGGTACAATTACACCGCTTAGCATAATTGCAATTGACCATAATTATATAAAACAGGAAATAGGTTTGTCTATTATATTGTCTTACATTCCTTTTTATGTGTATTGATTTAAAAAAAATGTTAACTTTAATTGATCTAAATTTCAGGACAGAAATAATTTCTGAGTAAGTACCCATATTTATATAATTTAAAGAAATACATTTACTGAATAAATCTTCTTATTGCATGGATACTGATGTGTAGTATATTCATTTGGACACGATAACATTATTAACAACGGTACATAATATTATATTTGAGTATCTGACATAACATAAATATATTCATTCTATCTTACATTCCTAACAAATAAGACTTGTGAGTTAAAGGAGTCATAGGATAGATCATAGTTCACAAAAAATGGTTCAAACAAACTACTGTATCATCTAATACAATATCGATTTAACTTATTTTATAGTTAATATAGGTTTATGGCAAATAATATAACTTATATATATATTTTTACTCCTCGTTTTTCAATATTTAATGATAATGTGCAGTCTCTCTTATTATTCAATGTTGTTCTGGTTTTTTTTTAGGAAAGAACCTTTGTAAGTACTGATATCATATTGATATATAGATATAAAGTATACCATGTATACATACAGTAAATTAAATGTCAAAGTTTCAAGGCTAAACGTTACATCACAAATAAGCAAATATCTAACGTAAAAGCGTTGCAATAATTGTACAATCAACCGAGTTACATTTAATAACAAACTTCCTAAATTGCTCTTGTGCCTCGTCCAAATACATATATAACCCTGTTGGTCATGTTATTACTGGAGATCATGGTATCATAAATGATAAACAATGTAAAGAGTTGTTAGCCAAGGGTCCATACTATTGAATTCCGCAACCAATCAACTTGAAAAACAACTTCAGGTAACTGATTAATGCAGTTAAGGACTATGTCAAAAAATGGGTAAAACGCAGCCAGGTGAGCCAAAACTGAACACTTTGATTATCTGTATAGATTAAGTTTACAATGTACAATGAGGTTACGGGTTTATGACGCTTTTAAGAAACCCAAGGTTCTGGATGCATGATCATTCCTTACCGACAAATATGTTGTTGTTGCAGCAGACAAATCATCCAACAATATTGTTTTGTATGCAAAGCCATTATTAGGAATTTGGATATCACACCAACATTGGGAATCCCACATATACATGTACCCCTACATCATTCACGAAAGAAGAGATTTAGGAATATCACAAATCCGTCCTTCTCTTCTTTGGAACTAACATTAAAAGGATGACAAAAATCTTCCAATTTTACACTGGATACGTAAACTTTACAAAAATCCTTATAAAAAATTATTTTCAAAAACACCCAACTCTAAGGTAAATCAAAAAAAGCGGGAAGTCCATAAAAACTGAAAACTCCAAAGAACAATTTATAGTCGGTTCGTCAAGATGTTCAAGTAAACATATTTCTAAAGTTCTTATCACCATTCTTGCAACAGTAAAAGATGGCCTTTAGAAATATTGTAATGAGGTATGTTCAATCAGCGGTGTCAATCAGATGTGGATTCTTAAAAATTCTAAGGATCGACTACAAAATCTATAATCACAATGTTTACAATTGTGCAGTACTATTAAAACATTTGATTGTTGTACGTTTGACACTACTATTCCCCATGCTTAATAAAATATCAAATACCTCATATCATTAAACAGAGCTTTTTCTACAAAAATTGGAAATGTAAATACAAAGTCTTTGCTATTCAGCATGAAAGATCTTACTTTGGAAAGAACTACAGTGATTCCACAGGATATACACTGAAGATGAAATTATCAAAATGCTGGACTGTTTTTCAAAATTCAACTTATTTGTTGATTTGGTGGAATATGTCAGCAGACAGTCGGTATTCCAATGGGCACTTACTATGCACCATTTCTGGCCGACTTGTTTTGTACCGATATGAAGAAGAGTTCATACAGAACCTCCTCAAAGTAAAAAAGTAAAACCATCTTGCAAAGTTTTCAATTCACTTTCAGATATATTGATGATGTTCTTTCACTAAATAACCCAAATTTCAAAAAGTGCTTACATCTCATACATCCCAGTGAACTCGAAATTGAAGATACTACGAAAAGTAGAACGTGTGCTCCATATCTTAATCGTTTCCTCGATATTAACACAGATATACGACTTCAAACTACAATCTATGACAACGTGATGATTTCAACTTTTCAATTGTCGACGTCCTATTTCTCAACAGTAACATATCCTCTGCTCCATTGTATGGCGTTTACATATCTCAGTTGATATGTAACGCTCATGTATGTTCACACTATACGGACTTCATTGACAGGGATGTGCTCATTACACAATCACTGATCCAACAGAGTAATGAGGAAGAACAAATTACGGTCACCATCACGAATCGGTGGACAATGACGATATGTCGGTGTCACAACTTAGTAGCGACACGTTTTTGTGGACTTAGATGTCTAGATATCCGTATAGTCTGATCTGTAACTTGTTGTGGACTTAGATGTCTAGATATCCGTAGAGTCTGATCTGTAACTTGTTGTGGACTTAGATGTCTAGATATCCGTATAGTCTGATCTGTAACTTGTTGTGGAATTAGATGTCTAGATATCCGTATAGTCTGATCTGTAACTTGTTGTGGACTTAGATGTCTAGATATCCGTATAGTCTGATCTGTAACTTTACCGATTGTGTCCTATTCCACATTTTGACATTTTTACTGAGCATGAATTCGCATGGCGGGTGAAGCATGCAAAGCAGGAGAAACTTATCCTGTCTACCAAACCGGTTTTGCTCTTTTGGGAGTTCAGGCTGTTCCCTTGCATGGTTTCTGTTTGTTACCTAGTCCCTTCCTAATCGATTTACGAGATTTGAACATCAGTTAACTACCGTCGCCTTATTTTATCTCAGCTCACACGGACACAACAACTCCAAATGAAATACGTTTCCCTATGATCACCTTAACAGATACCATGGAAACGACCTTTGTGCAGTCTTCAGATTCTTCTTTGTACTACAAAAATAGACAAGGCCCTGTTCTGTTAAACTTTCAGGTATATTAATTTTCAACGACATTTTGTAGCATAGTTTTGAATGTAATCGTAAAAACTGTAAACTTGTGATAAACTCATTACTGATATCTATCACCAAAGTAACGTGACCACCAAATGTGACAATGCAAGTAGTCATAAGGATCTGCATTAAACTGCTTCTAATACTGTGTACGATATTACCTGTACTCTTTGTGGACTGATCAATGTCGGTGAAACACGACAAAAGACTTAACGAAAGAATGATTGATCACAAGTCTAATGTTAATGATCCTGAGAACAATTAATTTCTCTATAAACACTTTCACCAGCCTCACTATTCCCATTTTTTCTATGAAAGTCAAGATTTAGAGAAAATCTGTCATTCAAAATATTATTTCATTTTGAGTTCACCATATCGCTACCAATTAGAAGGTTTTTGGATTTGGGAACAGCTATCCCTTATGACTGTAGATACAGAAATTGATGGTGTAGGTATTTTGTCTAGTACCAGGTGGAGTTATATCAACAAATTGAAAATGTTTAACACCTCTGATCGATGCAATATGAACACATTCACTACCCACTGTTCACATCGTGTCTATAAATAGTTTGTTATCCTCTGTTCATAAACCTTTAGGAATTCTCTATATTCGAGCTTAACTTTTTTCTGTACCTTTATCTTAGCTCAATTCACTATTCCATGAGGCCCAATACACTTCCTTGATTTATACGAATTATTCAAAGTACATATTGGTTGCAATAACTATTGATATTGCTAACCATAGACTATTCAAACCAGCACTTCCAAACATGATCATGATGATGAAAACAGTAGTAATTAGCAGTTTTTAATATGAAATTGTTGATAAGGGTTTGGATGCCATCAATATATAACATCAATATTAGCAATATTTTCCACCACAAATCTGTGCAAAAAACAACACCTGATTACTTCACAGATCAAGCAACACCTGTCATTTCATAAATGTACACCAAAACTATTGCTTCCACTATTTTTAACCAAAAGAGGGTAATAGAGTACTTTGCCCCCAGGTTTGTAAGATCGAATCTTCTGATTGCATTTGTACATTATTGCCAAACAAATATAGTCCCGCTGGTAATGCTGGAGGCTTTTGGATTGTAAAGAGTGAACAAGTTAGATCGTCGCTAGCCAAAGGATCAAGAATTTCAAAGCTCATTATCTGGAAGTACAACTTCATGTTAATTATGGATGCAGGTAATGACTACGCAGAAAATGGGGAAAATGCAAGCCAGATAAGCCGAAACTAGATACTTTATCTGAAAGGATCAATGCTATTAGTTCATACATTCAGAAGCGCATTCAACATTTATGATGTATAATGATTTTGAAAAGAAGATGCTTCACCAAATAAATTCCGTATACCATATTTCAATAGTGGCAAGTCGTTGCTATATATCTGTGGTTTACACTACATCATGTAATGCTAAACATTCACTGAAGAACATGGTATACAGTTCAAGCGGAACTTCGAAACGTATGTCAGCATGACATAAAAACTTAACAGACAGTTCCTAATTTTAATTATTCTTAACATTTTGTTTATCTTTAAACATGGAAGACGTTTTTTAGAATACGCCTAAGTCAGATTGTCAAAAGCGGAACAAAGTATAACCATTGCGTTAATAGTGGAGTGACATTAACCATAAAATTAAATTTTAATGAACCAACCTAACAAACAGCTTCATTATATATCATTCAAAATTCATCATCTGTACATTCCGTTTTTGCACAGTGGTAAACAAATCGTACGGTGCAATTTCCGTCAAATCATCATCAAAGGCCAAGGATGGACAGTTTCTCATTTTTTTGAAAATACCAACATTATTGCATATTCTTCCTTCTCTACAATAACATAATGTATGCAAAAAAGGAAGAGAAGAGAATAACATTCGCTTATCAAGCACAAATTTCGATTTTTAAAGCGTGTTTTGAATAGACAGCACCTTTTCCAGACATTTATTCAAATTTTAGCTATAAGTAAATAAAATGCCATTTTTCGGGTTTTTGTATGATAAAATTTTCCAACATATCAAATGAGCCTCATAGAAAAGGATACAATAATTCCAAATCAAAT